TGTCCGTCTGTCCGTCTGTCTGTCTGTCTGTCTGTCTGTCTGTCTGTCTGTCTGTCGGTCCGTCCGTCCGTTCGCCCCGGTGTGACCGAATGGCAGTGTCCAGACACTCTCCTTAGCAGTGCCGCGCGTAAAAAACAGGAAAGACGCACAATAAGCACATGTTGGGGCCATTTTCGCGGTGCGGCTATCAGTCTGGAAGTATCAGACGCTTAGGGAGGGCGTTCGGCGGGGGTGTGGCGCCCCGCCCCGCCCCCCCCGCCCCGCCCCGCCCCCCCCCGCCCGCCTCGGCCAGCTTGCGCGCCAGGGGGGGCGGTCCAGTTTCGCCACCTCCTTTTTATCCTTGTTTCATCCGCTGCCACGCCTCGGGAACCGATCATTTGAGACGAGCATTTTTATTTAGGTCGGTCAAAATAGGTAGGTGTAGTTTTCGTCGGCCTAGTTCAGGCCGGTCAAATGATGTAGACCCCGCGCCTCTCGACGGCCATGCTCGGCCTCGTCCTCCTCGGCCTCTGCCGCGAGCAAGCCCCGGCCGAAATTAATGCGATTCGAAGCCCGCGCGGTCCGGGGGTAATTGGCTGAGCGATAGCGAAGCCTGTTACTCCAGTGGGGTTGAAAAATTTTTCCTGTCTGTCTGTGTGTGTGTCTGTCTGTGTGTGTACACTACTCCTCCTGAACGGCTCGGCCGATCTGGCTGAGATTTTGCAGGCTTATTAGGTATGTCCTTGGCTCGGCACACGCGAAATTTCACCATCCTAGCTCAACTGGTTCAGTTTTTATAGCCGAAAAACACCTTAAAAACGGCGAAAAATCGAGTTTTCTGCAGGCAGATCACTTCTGTCTTGAAGTAGGAGGGTCTGGGGGGCTCCGCCCCCCAGCATCCATCAGGTTAGAAGTAACCGACGATGGGCAAGCCATTTGCCTGCCGAAGGCAGGCTAGCGCCGCAGGCCAAGGTAGGTACGCCAGGTGCGGATTGGAGGAAAAGGCAGCGAGACATCGCGAAGCCTGTTACGACAAGACGCGGTCTGGCGTAAACCTACCTTGTTTAATACACGGCTACACGCCGGCCCAAGTGGTTTGCATAAGTGTAACTGGCTGCCGGCCCCACTCCACCGCCAGGCACAGTGGACTTGCCAGAAGACCGGGGGAGGCGGGCCAAACTCTAGACGCGTTTTGAGCTCCAGAGTCGCTAAACAGGCCTCGAACCGAACGCGTGACCCCACCAATGGATTCATCCGTTCGAAGAGCGATCCATCGATGGGGTCACACGTTCGGTTCGAGTCCCATTTAGCGACTCTGGAGCTCAAAACGCGTCTAGTGTTTTGGCCGCCTCCACCGGTCTTCTGGCCCACTCGAGCCCACTGTGTGGCTGAGGCCGGGAGTCCAGGACCGCAAGGACCCTCGCGAGAGGCGACGCGACGCGACCCAGGACCGTTTAATGTTTCGGCCGAGGTTAATAGGGGAAGTGGCAGAAGCCATTTAACGCAGTTTCCGAAATCACAGCGCCGCGGGGAGGGCGGCAAAAAACACGGAAAAAAGGAGGAAGAAAAAAACGGGCAGGGAAAGGACAGCGGAAGAATTACAAAGGGATAAGGAGTGTGGGGAGGAAGAGCTAAGCAGGACGACTGCACTTTTCTTGCCTCTTTTTTTTTTTTTTTTTTTTTTTGCTGTTTCCTGGGGAACGTTTTGGACTGCTTTATCTTCTGTGGGACCGGCGGGACCCTGCGGCCGTCCGGGTCGTTATCAGGACCGCGACACACAATTGGCCGGATTTGCGGAATTAGCTGTAAAAAGACACTACGGAGGCAGTCTGGCACCACACTAGCAGGCCGAAACGATGCGCCAGCGAGGCAATAGGCCTACCTAGACACAGTGGGCCAGAAGACCGGAGGAGGCGGAAAAAACTGTAGACGCGTTTTGAGCTCCAGAGTCGCTAAATGGGACTCGAACCGAACGTGTGACCCCATCAATGGATTGCTCTCCGAACGAGGAATCCATCGGTGGGGTCACACGTTCGGTTCGAGTCCTGCTTAGCGACTCTGGAGCTCAAAACGCGTCTAGAATTTTGGCCGCCTCCACCGGTCTTCTAGCAAATCCACTGTGTGGCGGCCAGGACGAAGAGCAGGCGCAGGAGGTGGCATGATGGATGGCCGTGCCGTGCCGCGCCCCCGTTGTCACGATGCCGTCGATATGACTGCCTCCTCGCGTGAAGAACGCCATTTGTTTCAGCGCCCAAAATGGAGCAGACGAATCGAAGGAGGCTCTGCCAGGCCCCGCTAGGCTCAGCGAGTCTCCCTGCGGAAGCGCCGGGTAGGCAGTCCGCGGTGAGACCTGCCTGAGCACTGTGGTCCTGCACTGGGAAAAAGTGGCAACCAACATGATGGTTGCCGAGGGTTTTCCACCCACGGAGCACCAGTGTCGGAAGAGTTGCCAACCTCGGCCTGCCTACTGGGCAAATCGGCTATCTCTAGGCTTGTCGAGAAGTTGCTGGCTGAGGTTGGCAACCCTTTCCGGTGCACCGTGGGTTTGCCTACTGGTGTGGCAGCACTGCGCCCACAGTGCAGGCACGCGCATGCTTTACGGCCATCCCCTGCCGAATGCTAATCGATGACGTCACAGCGCGCCAATCCGTTTCCGGAGAAGCGCCTTCCATTTCCGGGGCTGCTCCGGGGCGCCGGAAGCGACCGCCGTCCGTCTGCCTCGCCTTGGCCTCGCCTACCTGGCTGCCCGGCCGCGAGGTGCGCCACGGCCTCCACGGCCTCCACGGCCTCCACGGCCTCCACGGCCTCCACGGCCTCCACGGCCTCCACGGCCTCCACGGCCTCCACGGCCTCCACGGCCTCCACGGCCTCCACGACCTCCACGGCCCCCACGGCCTCCACGGCATCCAGGGCCTCCACGGCGAGGGGGGAACAGCTTCCCACATTCGTTGTACAAAATTTGACCACATTCCACATTCAGGTGGCAAAAACGCCTGTAAGTAGGCAACATGTGTGGCAAAAACGCCTGAAATCTTGCACATTCTTGCACATTCACACAATCATTGTACACAAAATTTTACAGTGGGTCACCCCTCGCTCCACGGCCTCCACGGCCTCCACGGCCTCTACGGCCACCGTGACAAGCTCCGCCAAATTGGCCGAAGAAACGCACCTTCTGGCGTCGTCCCGTCTCTCTCGCACCCCCTGGCGACTGCGGGGCGCCCTGCGAGTGCGAGAGAGACGGAGCGCGAGTTATTGGCACCGCGGCCTTCCCCCTCCGTCACCTCATTTCCCGTTTTTGTTTGTGATTGACAGGCATCTGCGATTCCGGGGCGATGCAGACGAGACGCCGACGACGCCCCAGCGCTCTTAATCTAGGGGCGAATTTTTCATACACAAACACACACACACTCTGAGAGAGAGAGAGAGAGAGAGAGAGAGAGAGAGAGAGAGAGAGAGAGAGAGAGAGAGAGAGAGAGAGAGAGAGAGAGAGAGAGAGAGAGAGAGAGAGAGGAAAAACACGGTGGATGCTCTCAAGTGTCTGAATTTCCCAGGGCGGCCGGCCAGTCACTCTGTGGACCGACTTGCACCACACACATCGTCGGTTTGCCGTCCCTCCGGAGTGGTCATCCCCTCCTTCTCTCTCTCTCTCTCTCTCTCTCTCTCTCTCTCTCTCTCTCTCTCTCTCTCTCTCTCTCTCTCTCTCTCTCTCTCTCTCTCTTCTCTCTCTCTCTCTCTCTCTCTCTCTCTCTCTCTCTCTCTCTCTCCCTCTCTCCTCCTTGTTCCCTCCTTGTTTTCGCAGTGCTGGAATAATGAACCCCAGGGAGGTGCCGCGGCGTGGCGCGGCGCGGCGGCCGGACTTCCCTCACCGCGTCGTGTTTTCCTTTCATTATTTCGCCCGTTTTGAAGCCAGCTGCGTGGAAGAAACAACGTGGAGCCGAACAGCCAGCCAGCCAGCCAGCCAGCCAGCAAGTCAAGCCGCTAATCATGCACGCATGCCGACGAGTACTACCAACATCCCAGAAACAACCTCCCCGCCCGGCCCGGGGTATACCAACCATCCAGTTTACCAACCTTCCAAACCCTCCAGCCTTCCCAAACCTTCCCATTTCTCGACTCAGCTCCAACAAAGATCCAAGAACTTACATTTTTAAAGAGACCTTTGTTTTTAAAAAAATAATTCGCGTTTTTACCACTCTGGTCAGTTTACCAAGAGGGCAAGACGAGATGAACTGTTCGAATCCCAGAGTCGCACAGTGGGCCAAAGGACCGGCGGAGGCGGCCAAAACTCCAGACGCGTTTTGAGCTCCAGAGTCGCTAAATGGGACTCGAACCGAACGTGTGACCCCACCAATGGATTGCTCGTTCGGAGAGCAATCCATTGGTGGGGTCACACGTTCGGTTCGAGTCCCATTTAGCGACTCTGGAGCTCAAAACTCGTCTGGAGTTTTGGCCGCCTCCACCGGTCTTCTGGCCCACTGTGAGTCGCTCCCTTTTCGGCCCGAGGCCCTTGCCGTGCGTGTAAGTCCGACAAACATAACCCGCGGCGTTAACACGGGTCGTTCGGGGGCTTGGCCGAGGGACGGCCGAGGGCGGCGGGCGGCCGGGCGGCGTGCCAGGGGTGCGTGTTCGACTCCCCGCCGGGGCGCGCGTTCCCGTATTCATGGTGTGCTCCAGCATCGCGGGGTCACCGCGGCGTCCTTCCAACGCCTCCGCCAAAATGCCGTTCTAGCACTCGACCGCGAGCCATGTCCCCAGGATTTTTTCTGTTTTTATTTTCCCTCTCTGTCGGTTTAATAAGAAGTGGGTTGTGGGGTCAGGCGTCACATTTCCCTGCGGGCCAGGCTGTGTGTACTCGTCACAACAATATCATTTCTGCGGGGCTCCGGGATGCAAATAAGGTGTAAGTCTGCTGCTAAAGTTTGGCGTGATTACTGTGGGACGAGGGCGGAGGGGGAGGGGGAGGGGGGAGGCGACGCCGAGATTCGTCTTTGAGGGGGCGGCCCGTGCAGCGAATAAGAATGCGAGGTATGACCCAATTAAGGACTTTGGAAGAGGGGCCGTGTCCTCTTGGCCGTGGCCGAGGCAGCGGATTCGAGTCCCGCCAGGGTCTGCCACTTTCAAAATCCTTGAAATTCGAGTTTTTTTGATCAGACTAGTTTAGGGTGCGAACAACAAACAGACGATGTTTTTTCAAGTGGAAAAGCGTGTGACAGTAAGGATCAAACATTGTATAAACGCTTTTTAACGTTTTTAGAAAATTTGCTCGCCGGAACTCAGGGGAAGTCCGTTTGTTCCTGCGCTGCTCGAGCACACAGGGGGTTGTTTGCCGGCCGACGTCTTCCGGGGTCGCCCGGAGTGGACCGGAGACCCCTTGCCGGCCACCTCACCTAGTAATTTTCGACAGATTTTCCGGGCGAGCACCCCTGGAGTCAAAAGTCACCCCCACCTCGGCGGCCACGGCGTCGGGGCAGCCGGGGCGCGGTGGCGGCGGGGGCGGGTGCGGCGCTACGGTCTTCGGCGCCGCTCGGGTGTCTTCGGGCCCGTCGGTCCCTTCGGGCGGCGGCCGAGCGCGGCCGAGCGGGGCGGCGGGTGGCGGGGCCGGGTGGCGGGGCCGGGTGCGGCACTGTGCAGTCTGATTGGAGAACATCAGCTGACTGTCCGCCCCTCCACTGCGCAGCGGGTCTGGCAGTCGGCCCAGCCTCGCCCAGCCTCGCCCACCTACAATAATCAATGGAAATCCGGCCCTGCCCGCCCTGCCAGTGCCCTGCCCGCCGTGCTGTTGTTGTTATTGTTGTTCTTGGTCCCTCTCTTCTCCTTCCCTTGAATAAATATTGCATTGTTGTATTGGCGGCCGGCGCGGCCCGCTGCGAGTGGTGGGGGAAGGCGCTGGCGGTGCGCCGGGCCGCGCGGCGCGAGGCGCGAGCTACACAACACACAACACAACACACCTCGGCAGGGTAGGGACCGCGTCTCGGCCGCTCCGCTCCGCGTCCACGGCCTCCTCCGGCACCACGGCGCCTCTCCCGCGCGACCAGCGGCCGCACGGCCTCTCCGACGGGCTCCTCGACGTCCTCGACGTCCTCGACGCGCTGCCCCCGACCGCCACGCTGCCCACCAGGCTGACGAACGCCGGGCCGCTCGCGGCCGCAGACACCTCCCCGACAGTGCAGCACCCCGCAGCAGGTCTGGCAGCTCAGGTGAGTGCAGTGACTGTGTGCCCGCCGCCAAGGTTGCCGTCGAGTGGCAGTGGGCCAGAAGGCCGGTGGAGGCGGCCGAAACTCTGGACGCGTTTTGAGCTCCAGAGTCGCTAAGTGGGACTCGAACCGAACGTGTGACCCCACCAATGGATTGCCCTCCGAACGAGGAATCCATTGGTGGGGTCACACGATCGGTTCGAGGCCTGTTTAGCGACTCTGGAGCTCAAAACGCGTCTAGAGTTTTGGCCGCCTCCACCGGTCTTTTGGCACACTGTGGCACGCCGTGCTTAAGTGCGTCGCGAGGACGGCGTCGACTGTTTGCTCCGAGGCCATCGGCAGGCCATCAGCCACCTTCCCGGGGACGCTGCCTCCAAGTCGAGTGTCACTTCACTGTGCTGCACGTGGCTCAACGGGCGTGGCAAGGAGCAAGTGCACGGGAAACTGAAATTCGCTGGACGTCCACCGTCGCCAGAGTGTCGTTTTCATCGCTCTGTCTGTCTCACTCGCACCCATAGAGGACGTCCCACGAGTGCGAGAGAGGACACGGCTCTCGAAATCAGTCCACAGGCCGCAGGATTCCGCCGGGCATTTTTGACGTCCACCTGTCGAAACAATGTAAATACATGACAATACCGGTTCGCCCGAGAAGGCCGCGCAGCGGACAACAAAGTGAACGGGGTATTGTTTATTTTCCCCGAACCGAGCCGCTAACTCGCCCGCCAAGAACTCGTTCTGGGCTGGACAATCATTTTGCCAGCGGAGCCACCGTTCAAGTTGGTGAAACGACAGTCGGAAATAATGATTGTTTTCGAACGGTGTTCGGAAAAGGAACCCCCGAAAATGACTGCCGTCGTGTTCAGTCAGTCAGTCTGCGAAACGTCGCTGTGTTTCCGCGCGTTGCTTCGCTTGCTTCGCCAGACACGTGAGAGCCACGTGGCGGGGCGGCCGCTTTACCGCCAGCGCCGCCCGTGTTGCTGTTGTGCCGCCCCAAACAACAACAACAACAACAACAGCTGTATCGAGCCAGCCGCCCCATTCGACGCGCGCCGTCTGCTTCGCGCCAAAACTGCGGACGGGGCGCGCCAAAACGAATCGCTGCCGGGTTTTCTTCGTCTGTGTCGCTCGGCGCGTGTTCGTGTGTCGATGGGCGTGAGTGGCACTGTGTGTGTGTGTGTGTGTGTGTGTGTGAGAGAGAGAGAGAGAGAGAGAGAGAGAGAGAGAGAGAGAGAGAGAGAGAGAGAGAGAGAGAGAGAGAGAGTGAGTGTGAGTGAGTTGGGTGTTGTAAATGACGAAACGCTCCCCGTGTGGTCCGTGTCCGACGATGGGGATCGCACAGAGGAAGGCAGGCTATGACGCTTCGACTGTAGACGATTGCCCCGTGGGTGAGGTTCCCCTGTCCGCGCGCTGGGACACAGAAACACGCGCGAACTCTCGCACACACCCACGGATTGCGCGGTTTTCCTGTTCCTGCTCGCGGTGATCTTTTCCCATTGCGGTAGTGCTCCGAAATAACAGTGTGTCGAATAATTATTTTGTCTGCCGGGCTTTTATTGTTGTTTACCGACGGTATTATTGTTATTTTTTCTCCGCCGCGGCCGGCTGGCCGCTCGTCTGCGTGTGTGTGTGTGTGTTCGCCTGTCATCGTGCATGTGTGTGTGTGTGTGTGCCGGCTGGAAAGCGGGTGTGTGAGTGCGCGCACCGCGTTTCGGGGCCGCAGTTTGGCTGGCAGACGAATACTGCAGTGCTCTAGCTGGAAAGCCACCCCTGCACAGTGAAGACCGGCGCCGGCGGCCAGAACTCCAGACGTGTTTTGAGCTCCAGAGTCGCTAAATAGGACTCGAACCGAACATGTGCCCCCACCAATGGATTCCTCGTCCGGAGAGCAATCCATTGGTGGGGTCACACGTTTGGTTCGAGTCCCATTTAGCGACTCTGAGCTCAAAACGCGTCCGGGATTCCGACCGCCTCCACCGGTCTTCTGGCCCACTGTGCCCTTTTCGGAACAGTAAGGGACGCGAAACGCACTCGGGTTTCCTGCATGTGATGTGCTGCGCTTACAGTGGAGGCGGCGGGCCCGGCGGCCCGGCAGGCCCGCAAACAATGGGTGAGGAGTATTTATTTTAGATCCTCGGTTCGGCTGGGTTTGTTTGGCTTGCTTGGCTGGGCCGTCTCGGCTGCCTGGCTGCGCCATGGCAGTGCGGTGCCTTCAAGCACGTCCACGTCGACGCCGCCGGTCCGTCGAAAACGGTTGCCCGTTCGGGAATCGAACCCACGCGCAGTCTGGACCGACGTTTTCGGCAGCGCCGCCGGCGGGTGTTGAACCGTGGGCCGCGCGCCCGGCCATGTGTCACCCAGCAAACAGCGTGGCTGCCCGGGGCTGCGTCCATTGCGAGAGAGAGAGAGAGAGAGAGAGAGAGAGAGAGAGAGAGAGAGAGAGAGAGAGAGAGAGAGAGAGAGAGAGAGAGAGAGAGAGAGAGCGCCCGAGGCGTGGCCGTCCAGCAGACGACGCCCGTTCGGCCGTTCGGCGAATACAGACAGACGGCTACGCAATGTATTGCTCAAATATTTGCACCGGTGTTGACGTTTGTTTATTGAGCCGCTAGGCCAGCCAGCCTGCCTGCCTCGTCTCTCGTCGCTAGGTGACGGTCAAGCTTTACGCCTCGCAACAATGTCTCATTGTACCATTTGACGTTGCCCCGTTTGATCGACGAAGTGTCCAAGCGCCGGCGGCTGAGATGGCGGACACGTCATGCTGACCCCGAATCGCTGCGATTTTATACGTGCCAAGTTAAATAATTTTTAAAGTTCCTTGTTCTTTTTTTGCCGGTGGGTTGACGTGCACTAACCTTCACCTGCATCCCGTGTGCCCCGGCCCAACAGACGCCCCCCCCCCCCTCCACACGTCAGTGTGTGCGACTCGCGCTTATCATAACAACCCTCGGGCTGCCACAACAACGCGCCCACAACAACAACAACAACAACAATGCTGTGTGCCGTGTCGATCGCTGTGTGTGTGGCTGTGTGTGTGTGTGCCTGCGTAGTTGGACCCGTGCGTCGTGTGCGTTCGAAAAACAAGCTTTCCATTGCTCACAGGCTTTTTAAAACTGTAATCGCGATTGGGCGATTGTTCAATTTCCAAACTAGTTTCTGCGGGGTGTGGTGGCGACTAAGCCGACTCACGCAGCCTCTCTCTCTCTCTCTCTCTCTCTCTCTCTCTCTCTCTCTCTCTCTCTCTCTCTCTCTCTCTCTCTCTAAGATGGGCCTCGACCTGGCATTCTGCGGTCGTTCCCCGACTCTTCAACGCAGTGTAACAAAGTAGAAATAAAACGCGAAAAGAAAAGAAAAAGAAATGCCGAAGCCCTTCCGCGAGTATTCGAACCCGCGACCGGCGCAGTCAAGTCCCGGAATTGTTGAGCTTCTAGGCGGGCCGTCGCGCGCGCCCTTCCTCCGGACACAAATGAAAAACCAACAGCGCGCCGCCAAGGAATAAACAAAAACAGGTAAACAGGACTGGCCAAACACGGCGCGGCTTCGAATCCCCGCAACTGCGCGCCTTTTCCTGCTGACTTGCGGCGCGCCGCGGTCTTGTGTGCGTGCGCGCGTGTGTGTGAGAAGGACAGAGAGAGTGACTGCAAAGGTGCGAAGAGTTTCCCTCCGGCTGAGAGCAAGCGTTGTGTTAAGTCACCTGGACGGGAATAGTCTGACGCGCGTCACTGATTTTTCATCTTCTGTTTCGCGGAAACGCCGGCGTGTTTGGACGCCCCTCCGGGCCCCCTCTGTCTCCTGCATGACGCGCTCGGTGACGACGCGCCGCACAGTGGGCCAGAAGACCGGTGGAGGCGGTCCAAATCCCGGACGCGTTTCGAGCTCCAGAGTCGCTGGATGGGACTCGAACCGAACGTGTCACCCCACCAATGGATTGCTCTCCGAACGAGGAATCCATTGGTGGGGTCACACGTTCGGTTCGAGTCCCATTTAGCGACTCTGGAGCTCAAAAAGCGTCTAGAGTTTTGGTCGCCTCCACCGGTCTTCTGGCCCACTGCGTCGCGTCGTGGCGTCCGGACGAAGATCGTGCGTTCGAATCTCTGGCCTCCGTTTAGGTCTCCGTCCGGCCCCTTGGTGCATGGAAAAGGAAGGGAGGGGGGGGGGGGGTTAGAGTTAGTTGTGCCCGCTCGGCTAGACGCGTATCGAGCACCAGGACTCGCCATTTTCTTCAGTTTATCTCTGCGACTCTCCGGGCTAAAGAGCTAAAGATGAGCAGATCCTGAATATGCATATGTACGAATATTTTTGAGACCCCTAAAATCGGGCGCAAATTAGTAGGTGTTTGTGCGACTTTGCAAATTGGCATGTGAACTATGCGAGGTCTCACACAAAGAGTATTGTACAAAGGATTTTGTGGGTAGGCAATCCCTGACGCTCAACCGCCCTTGAAGCAGGCAGTTTTTGTCGGGCCATAAAGTCAGTAAGCGTGGGACTGTGAAATTGAATTTGAAACAGAATTGAATTTGGAGGTTATGGTTGCAGTGTGGGGCGCAACGCTAGCGGAGCAGTCTCTGCATCCGGGGCGCATTTTGTCGGCCGTTCCCCGCGGCAAGCGAGAAGCACGTCCCCCGCCACTGCAAACTGAGAGTCGTCCTCGTCGCTCTGTCTCTCTCGCACCTACACTGGACGCCATCATCATCATCATCAGCGCTGTTAGGCCTATGCAGACCTTTAGCGGTTCGGGTCAGCAACGACTGGACGCCCTGTGAGTGCGAGGGAGGCAAAGCGACGAAAGCGACTCTCGGAATCGGTCTGCTGGCCTTTTGGCCCCCGCTTTGGCGGCGCTTTGGCGGGGGAGCGTTCTTCCTGTTCCTCTCCAAGCAGTGTCCGCCGGAGGACCGTGGCGTGGCGGGGCCCGTGGCGGGCCCTTGTATGCGCCGTGAATGGGGGTGACACATGATGAAACGGGGTGCTGGTCGCGCAGCCCCGCTTGGGGCGCCGGCTTCAAAATGGCGCCGCCCCCCACGCCCCCACGCCCCCACGCCCCCACGCCCCCACGCCCCCACGCCCCCACACCCCCACGCCCCCACGCCCCCACGCCCCCACGCCCCCACGCCCCCACGCCCCCACACCCCACGCCCCCACGCCCCCACGACCCGCCGCGCCACTCGGCCGTCTGAACGTCGTCAAGCAACTTATGTGCGTTGTTGGAGCACTCGACGTGCGGATGGCCGTGGCAGTGTAGGTGCTGCGCCGAGAGTCGTCGTTCTGCCTCTCTCGCACTCGAGGGGCGTCCCGCGCAGGTGCGAGAGAGACAGAGCGACGAGAACGACTCTCGGAATCAGTCCGCTGGGGGGCTGCAGGGGCTCTGCGCACGCGCTGCATCTGGACCGGCGCACAGTGGGCCAGAAACCGGCGGAGGCGGCCGAAATTCTAGACGCGTTTTGAGCTCCAGAGTCGCTAAATGGGACTCGAACCGACCGTGTGACCCCACCAATGGATTGCTCTCCGGACGAGGAATCCATTGGTGGGGTCACACGTTCGGTTCGAGTCCTGTTTAGCGACTCTGGAGCTCAAAACGCGTCTAGAATTTTGGCCGCCTCCGCCGGTTTCTGGCCCACTGTGCGGCG